AAAGAATCACATGAGGTTGTATGAATGAGAATGTAGTTCATATAATTGAGTGCAAATAAATAAGGAAATATTCATTGAAGGGTGTAGAGTTAGAGGACTTTAAAGTGACAGGTTAAAACCCCTAACTTGGTTTATTGTTTTAGGTTCTGATACGAGATTTTAGCCCCCAGGTGGAGGGAACCAAGGGAACTCTAAAGTGAGAGCTAGTATCTTCCCTGCCTAGCCGGTCTTCAGAACTATTCAAACTTTAAATTAGCCAATGTTCTTTATAGAATCTCTAGTAAGAGTAAAGAATATTATTGCTCCTATTTGACACAACACAATTTGCATTCTTCTACAACAAAATTCCTATTAGTCATGATAAGAAGAAATATATTTTCATATTTAGTGTTTTTCTTCTATAAATACTATAGTATCTTTTTAAATTGTTATTGTTCTATCAAAATATTGAAAATACCAAAAATATTTAAACTTTCATTACTGCAAAATCATCTTTAGTTTAAATAATTGTCTTTTTAAAAATAGAAAGTTTCTAAAAGTGCATATTGCATAATCTCCCTGTGGGTTCGATATTTAGATCTTAATAAAAAAGTCTTATATACTTGATAACAATACGTATACTTACGTAGTATCACAATATATATAAATTAAAAGTTAAATTCTTATTTTTCTTTGGGATCAAGTTTTTGGTTTTGTTGCATTTGTTCAAGTTTTTGGTTTTGTTGCAAAATAAGGAAATATAAGTGAAAAATATAATCAGAATTATTGTTATACTGTTGCATATAAGCAGTATCCAGGATCACCCCCCAGCCAAGTTTTGAAATACTTTGTGTCTGAATAGAATGAGAGAAGACAACTTCACTACAATCGTGCTCGGGACATTGATGTGAACGACCTTTCGAGACTGTAGTGTAGTGAAGGTTGCCGTTGCCCCTCAACCTGGAATAAGTTGTGACATACTTTGTGTCTGAATAGGATGCGAGAAGACATCCCCACAACATTCGTGCCTGGGACATTGACGTGAACAACCTTTTGAGATTGTAGTGAAGGTTTCCCCCGACATTTAAGAATGCTTTGGAGATGACCTTCAAGATGCAAAAAAGATTCATTTGTCAATTGCATGATCTACATCATCGGGAAATGAAGTAGGGATTCGACGTCTCAGAGGACGTCTCAGAGCTGATCGACGTCTCAGAGCTGAAGACAGTATCGAATGGTGCTTCGTTTTCCACAGACAGTGTCAAACTGATGCGTGCCAAAAAAATTGCGGCATTAAAGTAATTGATTTTCGCCTTAGCATTGCACGAGAATTCAACACACACAGATAAAAGAAGAGAGGTAAGCAAGAGGAGACATCTCAAATTTTTACTTGGAAAACCCTTGAAAGGGGGAAAAATCATAGGGCCTAGCCCAGTTGAAATAATCCATTATGAATGATGAGTACACAGGTTCAATCTTCCCCTAAATTAGGGAATATAGGATTACAAAGTTGGATAACTATAATATGGCTACAATTCTTGGTGACAACAAGTTGCATGGGTTATTGTTGATTTTTGTGGAAGAAGTATTCCATTGTGAGTGTGATAGATGATTGCTCGAGAAGGGTTGATTGACCAGAGAAGTTATATTAAGCAGTTGCGGGAACTGTGAATCACTTAGATTGTAGTTGGCAAGTATTAATGACGTTCGTAGACCGCAGGGCTGGAGTCAGGAGTTGCATGAGCTGATGACCACGTAGGTCGTTGGGGCGAATATTGATAGCGTCCGTAGGCCGTTGGGGTCAAAGTCGGGAACTGCATGAGCTGATGAACGTGTAGGCCGTGGTTGACATATGGACCGTAGTGGTGACGTACATAGACCATTGGGATCAGAGCCAAGAGCTGCATGAGCTAATGACCATGTTGGTCATAGTTGACACATGAACCGTAGTGGTGAGCTCTTGTTCTGTAGACGGGAGAGGGTCATTAGATTTTTCAAGTTATGACGTTGACTAATGGCGTCTGTTCATCGGTGGTTGACGATGATCGACAGTGGTCGGCGACGGTTGGCGGACGACGATCGATGATGGTTGACGGCGGTTGGCAGTCGTGCTGGACTTTAGCTCCTTCTCAAAGCCTCAAGTCTCGCCCTCTCATATTAGGGGTGGGGTTCTATTTTTAGTATTATGTGTGTAATTAATGTGAAAATATGAATCATGTTGATCAGACGGTCCGAAGAGCTTCCTTATATC